GTGACCCACTTTCCGAGCCCCAGTGAAGCTCAGGATGGTTTGATCTCCTCTGTGCTCCGTTTTCCCAGCGTGAGCTCCCTGGGATGTTTGTGGCCGTGGCATTTCCCTGCCAGCTGTCAGTGCTGATTGCAAGCGAGCCTCCTTTGCCACTCTGCATGTCCTGTCTGTCCTGCTTAGCAGCAACAAGGACTTCTCTGAACATCTTCCTTCATCCTGGGCACAATCCACGCCCTGCACATCCTCGTTTGGTGGGTTTGAGTGGCCCTCTCTGCTGTGGCTGCAGCAGAGGAGTGCCTGGCTCCAGACACTCTCCCTCCCTGAGGAGTCTGGCTTCTCCCTGGAGCTTGGCTCAGGAATTATCCTCACTAAAGTGGGTTTCAGGTGCTTTGGGGAGGGGATTCTGCTCCTGTTTTGCTCTGTCTCCTCCCAGGACTTGGGAGCGTTTCTGCCATGCAGAGGAGGAGGAGGAGGAGGAGGAGGAGGGAGTTTGTGTTCACATCTGGGCACTGCTGGAGGCTGGTGGTGAATTTAATGTTGGCTACAAAAGGCTCAGAAATGCACATGTTTGGGGAGAGACCGGGCAATCCCAGAATCCCAGAACAGCTGGGGTTGGAAGGGACCTCTGGAGGTCATCCTGGCCAACCCCCTGAGCAGGTGACACAGGAACGTGCCCAGGTGGGTTTGGGATGTCTCCAGAGACAGAGAATCCGTGATCTCCCTGGGCAGCTGTTCCAGGGCTCTGCCACCCTCAGGGAAAGAATTTCTTCCTCATTTTGATGTGGAAGCTCTTGTATTTTTGGTTTGGAACTTAAAAATAAATGTCTGGGATAAGGTCTCTGAAAAAAATTACTGTTCCCACTTATTTCTAGGACTAGGGTTCATAAAAATGAACAAGGTTACATTAAAATACCCACAAGTTATTCCAGGGATCCCAAGGGAAGCATCAGTGGCTCTCAGACAGGGTGGAGATGATCCTGAGGAACAGGATTTGCTTTTCCCCACCCCAGTCCTCAGGATTTGGGGTGCTGGGGCTAAACCTGAAGGAATTCCAAGGCATTTCCTTTGCTCAGGGCTTCACTAAGGATGTTCATCCCCCGTGTCTGGCAGCCAGGGTCTTGCTGAACCAGAACAAATCAATCCTGAGCTCCCAACCCTTACAGGAAGAGATTGCTAATTATTTATGTTATCAGAACGTTCAGGGAAGGAACTTTCTCTTCATTCTTTGCTTTCTTTTATACCCAGAGGAACAAGTCGCTTCCATAATTTATTCCAGGCGTTGCTGGAATAAAAGTTGTCAAGCATTTATCCCACAGCTGGGCTGTCTCTGGGAAGAGCTGTCAGTCAGGGCTGGTTGGTGGAGGAGAGAGAGAGAAAAGCAGAATTTTCCCAAGTGCTGGTGAAATTGGGGAATGAGTGCCACGGTCCTGAGCCCCCGTGGGTGGCAGGGTGCGTGCTCAGGTGCTCCTCAGCAGCACAGGAACAGGAATTTTTGGTGTTTGGCCATCACAAAAAAAAAGACAGCTTTCATGGAGGAATTGATTTTGTTGCACTTAAACCCTTGGAAGTGCAATGCAAGGCAACACCCCAAACATCTCCAATCTCTGTGTTTCTGTACAACCCACAGAGACACAGAAATGGCTGCAGCTCCAGCCATTTATCACCTTAAATCAGATTTTTTTCTTTGTGTTTTTGCTTTTCTCAACCGATTTCCCTCTTCTGGCACTGGATCCCCCATCACCTCTGCTTTGTTCTCAGCTGTTGGCTGTGCAGCCAGGGATGCTCCAGCAGGATTTTGGGATGTGCCTGTCAGCTGGTTCCTTTGATCTCTCCATTTCTCTTATTTTTAAGGATGATTTCCCACTTGTCCTGACCTAACTGGCAGTGGCTTTTATGAGCTTTCCCAGGGAAAAAGTAAAACAAAGGTGGCACTTTGGCAAATGCCCCAGATGATATTAATTAAGGTCTCCCCCTCACTGAGATGTTTTTCCAGGCACTTCAGGGCACTGGAATCCTGTGAAATGAGCTTTGGTTTTGTAGGGGGAAAAGGCACCATCCCCACTCTGGCCCAGTTTCCCCTCCTGAGCTTCTTTGTTGTGCCCCTGGGTCCTTCCTGATTTCCTGAGGGTTCCTGGGATGGATGCTGACACCACAGCACTTTTTAGAAGCCTCAGGGTGCCCTGTGCCCTGGTTCCACTGCTGGCACAGCCTGGCTGGGGCTGCAGAGCCTGGGGGTGAGCGTGGGATGCCAGGAGCTGCAGGACCCAGCTCTGTCTGGAGCAGGGACAGCGCTGGGTGCCCAGCCTGGCCTTCCTCAGCCTCTGCCTCGTGGATCTGCACGGTTCCCATGGGGGTTCAGCCCCAGAGCTGCCCCCTCAGCCCCTCAGTATCTGCTGGAGCCAGCCCAGAGGAGCCACGGAGCTGCTCTGGGACCTGGAGACCCTCTGGAGCCAGGCTGGGAGAGCTGGGGGTGCTCACCTGGAGAAGGGAACCTCCAGGGAGAGCTCAGAGCCCCTTCCAGTGCCTAAAGGAGCTCAGGAGAGCTGGAGAGGGAGTGGGGACATGGATGGAGGGCAGGAGCCAGGGAATGGCTCCCAGTGCCAGAGGGCAGGGCTGGATGGGATATTGGGAAGGAGTTCCTGGTTGTGAGGGTGGGGAGGCCCTGGCCATTCCCAAACCCAAACCATCCTGTGATTTTTTTTCCAGCTCTGTTTAGCCTGCAGCTGTTCTTTACCTCTCTAGACGACACTTGGGCTGTTTGGTTTCCCAAGAGTGATGAATTCATGGGCAGAGGGAGCAGGGACAGCTCATTCCTGCTGTCTGTGTCTGGGATTTGGGTGGGATGTGATGGAATCCATGGAGCAGCTCTGCAGCCAGGGGAGGTGGTGGCTCTGGGATGTCCTGTGCAGGTTAACTGGGAGGTGACATTGAATATTATGTCAGAATTCCTGACTTAAATGCTCAAACCTAGGGAAAGGGACTTTGTGTGTGCTGCCAGAGTTAGAACAGGCTGGATTTAACATCAGGCCTGTTAGGAAGAAAGTTCTGGAATGAAGATTCAACCCCTTGGAACATTTCCTGGCACCCATTCCCTCCCGTTTTCTCTTTGAGTTTAAAACCAGCACAAGAAGGGCATGAGGGACCCTTTCTCCCAGCTTGTCCCAAGGCAGGGCTCAAACCCATCCTGGCTGATTGTGCTGTTGGGAGCATCACCCATGGTGGATGTTCAGGATTATCTCCTCTCTGTTATCCCCACCCAGCAATTGAGCCGTGAGGATGGAGGGAAGGGAGCAGAGGATGAAATCACTGGCCTGGGTGCAGAAGATTAAATTAGAAGGCTCTGCATGTGCTGGTTTAAATTGTCTCCTGTTGCTCGTGCTCCAACTGCATCCATGGAGCTGATGTCATGGGAATTTTAAGGTCGGGAAAATGTGGGAACAGGTGTCCTATAGAATAAATACTCAGCTCCTCAGCTCCTGGCTGGATTTTGCCTCCTGCCATCCAAGATCCCAGCAGGTTTTTTTCCTGATCTCCAGCACCTCCTGCTGATGGAGTCTGGCCCTTTCCGCCCAGCAATGCTGAGCCTGCTCTTCCCTGGGCCAGGCTAAGTCAGTCCCTAAGCTCAGGATTTGTTCTGGGAGTGCTCCCTGCACTGCCACAGCCACATCCTGCACAGCTCACAGTGCCATTGGACGGCTGCTTTCGGAAAAATCTGCTTTTCCTGGGACTGGTTTCTGTGGTGGGGGGAAACTGAGGAAAAGTGGCTCCTGTTATGGGGAAACTGAGGAAAAGGGGCTCCTGTTATGGGGAAACTGAGGAAAAGGGGCTCCTGTTATGGGGAAACTGAGGAAAAAGGGCTCCTGTTATGGGGAAACTGAGGAAAAGTGGCTCCTGTTATGGGGAAACTGAGGATGAAGGGCTCCAGTTACAAAAACACTGAACAAAAAGGGCTCCTGGTGTCAAGAAACTGAGGGAAAAGAGCTCCTGTTATTAAGAAATGGAGGGAAAAGGGCTGTTATCACAAAACTGAGCAAAAAGGGCTCTTGTTAGAGAGAAACTAAGCAGAAAGGGCTCCTGGTGTCAAGACTGAGGGAAAAGGGCTCTTGTTAGCAATAAAATAGGGGAAAAAAGAGCTCCTGTGATGAGGAAACTGAGGCAAAAGGGCCAAATTCTCCTGGTCAGTGTGAGTGGTGCCGTGGATGGAGGGCTGGTGGGAGGGTTTGGGGCTGCCTTGAGTTAGAATCAGAGTTGTTGAGGTTGGAAAAGCCCTCCAGGATCATTAAATCCCATCTTTGGATGAGCACAGGCCCAAATAAAGGATGTTTTTGCTGGAGCATCCCAGGAGGTGCTGCAGGAATTGAAGAAGCTTTGCTGTGCTCTCCATGGGGCAGGGAGTTCTCGTCATTGTGACTTGTGGACACTGGGACAATATTTTCTCCCTTGCTGTGCCCTAAAGCAGGGAATCCATTTCATTTTCTGGGCAGAGATCACATTTTTAAGACTCTTTCTGCTCTGGGGGCCGGATTTCATGGCATGTCAGACTCACCCCTGCTCTCTGCACGTTCTCCTCCAAGAGGATGCTCTGAATAAAAATGAATTTCGCACACAGAGAGGAAACTACGAGCAGAAACTGCTTCAGGTGTTGGGAAACACCAGGCATCAAACTGAGGGATCTGTGGATTTATTATAGGATGTTCTGGCAGGTAATTTCCAGCATTACTGAGGGATTCAGTTCCCTCTCTCTGTCTCCTTTTGGGCTGTGCTTCCCTGGGGCACAGGGTGCAGCTCTTTAGTGGCCTGATGATTTCCAGTGGCCTCATAAACAGGCAGGGATTTGGGATCAGCATCCCTGGAGTTTGTGGGAGTGAATTCCTCCCAGTCAACACAATCCTCACTGTGACCACAGAGTTTAATATTTGCTGGTTTTACACCACATTTATCCACGCTTTAGAAAGAGGAGATTTTATTTAATCTGGATTTTTTTTTCCCCTGTTTCCCTTCAGGATTCTGGCGACTGCTGGGACAGATTTTGACCTGCGGACCCTGCGAGCCGTGCGGGTGCTGCGGCCGCTGAAACTCGTGTCAGGAATCCCAAGTGAGTGTCGTGCCAAGGTGATGTCCCAGCCCAAGGGCTCTGCAGGTTTGGGCTGTCAGGGCTTTTCTGAGCAATATTTTCATCTCCTGTCTCTTTGGGGTCGCTGGCTCCTGCCCTTGGCAGGGTGTGGTTGTCTCTCATCCCATTCTGTGCTCCCAAATTTGCAGGTGAGGGGCAGGGATTTGTCCACGGACTCTTTTGCCTGTGGGGGTGAATGAAATCTCTGAGGTGTGAAGACCTGAGAGTGAATTTTGCAGCCTTCAGGCTTTTCAGCTTGAATATGCTGATAGATTTGATCAGCTGAGCATCCTGTGCTGGGCCACTCCTCCCCTTCCCTCCACTCCCAAAGCTCCATTTTCCTTCCTTCCCTGAGGTGTTTTTGTGTCCCCACAGGCCTGCAGGTTGTCCTCAAGTCCATCATGAAGGCCATGGTGCCCCTGCTGCAGATTGGGCTGCTCCTCTTCTTCGCCATCGTGATGTTTGCCATCATTGGGCTGGAGTTTTACATGGGCAAATTCCATAAAACCTGCTTTTCCAACGAGACAGGTGAGCTCTGCCCTCTGCACCTTTCTGTCCTGCTCCTGTTTTGCTTTTCCTGTTTCCTCTTCCACACTCCCTGCATTCTCTCCCTCTTCACCTGTATATTCCAAGAGTTAACAGAATTTTGTGCCCATCCTTCAGGGGCTGGGATAAATTCTCCTCTCTGTGAGGCCTCTTGGCTGCTCCCAGTCTGCCCAAGAGTGAGATGAAAGTTCTTAGGGCTTCCTATCCCAAAAGAATTCTTTTCTGAGCAGAAGCACAGAACCAAATTCCTGTTGTTTCACATTAATTAATGGCTGAGTTTCCTGGGAAGGTTTCTGGGGAAACTTGGGTGTGGAATAGTAAAAGACTGAAAAGTCTGGGAGCAACCAAAAAATAAAATGGCAATGGATGGGAGGCAAGGAGTCCTTTGATGGAGAAAGGATAAAAATGACCTTCAGAGAAGGGAAATTGGGAGCTGAAGAGTAAATGATGTGTCTGCCTGTAACTGAGTGATAAACCCTGGAAGATGGAGGTGGAGAAGGAGGATCCCAGAGATTTTTGTGTGCCAAATCATGGAATCCTGGGCCTTAAAGATCATCTTGTTCCACCTCATTCCTTTAGAGTAGTGCTAATATATGTTTGTTATCTGATAACACACATTAAAATGTTGTTCTTGTCTCCAAACCATTACATTTTAAGGTGCAATTGACTTCCTTTAAAACACAGCCTTGTATTTTCAGTCATTATCACTAATAGGTCTTAATATTGATTTATTTCCATGCAATCCAATGGTAATAAAACAACATCCCTGCCAAATCTCTGGGCATCTTTCACGGTGCTTTCTGATGGGAACAGTTCAGTGTACACAGAGATTTGCAAAGGGAATTCTTGCTCGTGTTCCTGTGGAACTCTGGAAAAACACAACGCTGGTTGTGAAGGAGAGCTGGGAGTTGTGAGAAAATCCTGGCAGTTCCTGGAGGAAATGAGTTTTTGGACTGGATTTGTAGGAGGTAAAAGGGGGTTTTAAATTTGTGAGGGGCTGTGATGCCAGGGGTACAGGGACAGCAGTGACAGGGTGTGCAGGGAGCAGCGAGCAGAGGTGGTGGGGAGGATGGAATCAGGAGCAGGCTCCAGGTTTTCCAGGATCAGGTTTTCCAGGATCAGGTTTTCCAGGAGCGTTTTCAGTTCTGTCAGGCTGCAAACAAGGCAGGGGATGTTTGTGCATGCTTTGAGAGCAGGAGGCAGCTGCAGGCAGAGCTCCAGGCTCTCCCTCACCTGAGGAGGGAGGATTTCCTTCCCTCCCCGGTGTAAAAGGCAAACATCATCCCCAAAGCCATGTGTGCTCCCTGCAGACTCATCTCTGCCATCAGTGGTGACCAAGAGGTTCTGGGACAGGTTTGGGGACAGGTTCTTGCCATGGGTAACCTCATGTGGAAGTGCCTCTCTCTAGCTGGGTGTGTTCCAGCCCGGGATTGGGGGCACAGCTGGAGCTCTGCTGATTCCAGCCCTGCTGATTCCAGCTCTGCTGATTTCAGCCCTGCTGATTCCCAGCTCTGCTGATTCCAGCCCTGCTGATTCCAGCTCTGCTGATCCCAGCTCTGCTGATTCCCAGCTCTGCTGATTCCAGCTCTGCTGATTCCAGCTCTGCTGATTCCAGCTCTGCTGATTCCAGCCCTGCTGATCCCAGCCCTGCTGATCCCAGCTCTGCTGATTCCAGCTCTGCTGATCCCAGCCCTGCTGATTCCAGCCCTGCTGATTCCAGCCCTGCTGATTCCCAGCTCCCAAAGCCCCTCAGCAGCCCCAGAGGTGCCTGTGCCTGCTCACCCTGTGCTCTGGGGCTGCTGGGCTGGCTTTGGGTGAGTTCTGACGATCCATTCCAAGTGGTGTTTCTGGAAAGGGGAGTGGGCTGAGCTTTCCTGGCACTGCATCCCCTGGGAGCAGCAGGACAACCCACAAAGCTCTTTAAAACCTAAGTGCTCCTCATCTCCACAGAGGTGCATTAAGGAGCCTGGGCAGAGACCACGGGCTCCAAACCAGCCTCAGGGTGGAAATGTGAGCTCATTAAAGGGATGCCTCTGGTCAGGAGTGGAAAATGGGAGGAGGGAAAGCTGCTCGTGCTTCTTTCTGTTCCAAATCCCCAAAGCCAGCAAACCCCTGGGAATTCTCCTGGAATCAGAGGTACCAACTGTGCATCATGAGGGGACCAAGCAGAGGTGTCAGCACCAAGTGATGCTCTGCTGAGCCAATGGCCTGGGTGGGTCAGTGATGAACTGCAGCACAAAGCGGTGCTGGGCACCAAAATATGGCCAAAGTGTTATTCAAGGCTTTTCTCCTCCAGCCTGACTGCTCTGAGCTGGAAACATGTCATTATTTTAATGAAAAATGTGTGAATCTCAATGGCAGAGCATGCTCCAGTCTTGTTTCCCTCTCCCTGCACCCTCCTCGCTGTCCTGTTCTGCTGATACAGGATTATTTTTAAGCACCTGACCCAGCCCAAATGCCCCAAAGCTGCTCCAGGAGAGAAGGGCACCACATTTATTTCCCATTTTTCCTTGAGATTCCTCCTTTCTCTGTCTTCTCCAGCCACGAGGAGTAAGGGCCAATTCTGATCACTCTTTGAAATAAAAGGAAAAAAATCCCCCACCCACCCCTTTGTGGTAGATGTGCATTTTCAGAGAATTCCCTGGCAGCAAAAGGCAAAACCGAGATGAAACTGGATCCTCTTTTAATGCACACTCACAAACGGTCAGCAGGAGCCAGCTTTGGCATTTTCTTCTCTCACCAAGCCCTTGTGAGAGCCTGTAGTGACCCATCTGGGAGCTGGAGGTCTGCCCTGCACCGAGGTGTTGAGCCAACAGGAAAGTGTCACATATATATTTATATATATCTACACACACTTATATCCTGCTCCACGTTGACAATTTTGCTTTTCTCCTGCAGGCTTTGCTCTGTGGAATTATTATTCCTAATTCTTGTTAGCGTTGCTCCTGCTTTACCCCCCTGGTGAATTGGATTTTGTGCTGTTTGCTGCTCCATTACCATAAATGTGTCCCTTTAAAAACCCCTTAAAGCTTCCCCAATCCCAGCTCTCTAAACAGGGAATAGTGCTTGGGATATTCCAACAAGCAGGAACTTCTCAGGATGGTTCCAATAAGGAACTTTTCAGGATGATTTCAGTCAGGAACTTCTCAGGATGGTTCCAATCACAAAGTTTTCAGGAAGGTTCTAACCAGTAACTTCTCTTCCCTCTCTGCAGGTGAGGAGGTGGGGGACTTTCCCTGTGGAGAGGAGCCTCCTGCCAGGCAGTGTGAGAGCGGGACCACGTGCAGGGAGTACTGGCAGGGCCCCAACTACGGCATCACCAACTTTGACAACATCCTCTTTGCTGTGCTCACCGTCTTCCAGTGCATCACCATGGAGGGCTGGACCGACATCCTCTACAACGTGAGTCCTCTGCTGGGGCGTGTTGGTTGGGAAGAGATGGTTCTGGAAGAAAACAAGTCATTTTGTTGGTGTGGTTTTTCCCTCCTGAACCCCTGATTTTCTGGAGGATTGTTCCCCTTTTCCTGAGGGTCTGTTTCTGGTTGAATCTGTGGCGCTTTGGGGCTGCAGAGTTGCTGGGCTGCAGTGGGATGTGTGGTGGCAGGAGTGCAGGAGGTGGTGACACCCCAGGTGCTCCCGTGCTCTGCTGGGTGAGTAGGAGCAGGTTCTCACAGTGCTCCACAGAAAATCCAAAATTGTACAAAACTGGGTGGCAAAAGAAGCAACTCCTTAATATTTTGTACCTGGAGGTTTCCTCTCCTGATTGGGTGTAGCCTTTGTTGAACAAACTTTGTAGCACTGAGCTCCAGGACTGGTTTTGGTTAGTCCAGTCTGGTTTTACAAAGCCCTGTCTCTCACCTTCACCCCTGGCATGACTCTGGGGCTGCATTTGCACCAGGCTGAATTTCCCTGTCTCCTGCAAGGCAGGACCACCACTGGCACAACCTCTTGGCTGCTCAGTTCTGCTCTCCCCAGTTTTCCAAAGAGCAGGACGATTTCCCCCAGCCTCTGCTGGCTTCCAGCCAGTGCCACACTCTCATTTCAGGGTGTAGTTTATGTGGAAAAACCCCCAAGTCAGGCATTGCTGATGCCCTCAGCCCGTTTCTGTGGCTGGAGGGATGATGCTGTGCTCAGTTTTCCTCATCACAGACTCCAGAGCCATGCTGGGCCCTTTCTGTCTTTCCTGGGAGGGCTTTTGTAGTAACAGGAAAGGATTATCCTCAGCCACAGTGAATTGCCAGGTACAATTCTGCTGTGTTTGGAGCCAATAAATCTGATTTATTCCCTTCTCCCTCTGTTGCTCAGTTCCTCCATTTATTCCCAGTCTCTGACCACTTAAAGCCATCTCCAGATTTCCTGCTGCATTTCTCCCCTCACCCCAAAGCTCCACCACACCACCAATTTCTCCCCTTCTCATTCAGCATTCCTGCTCCTTCCTCCTGGTGCCAAGTGTTGTAAGAAAAGCCCATTAGCATCCTGGCTGGAATTGATTAATCAATATGTGGTGTATGAGCTCATCTTCTCCCAACCCAGCTCTTGTGCCACGTGCAGAACCCCGACCTTACTATGGGGGTATCGATTTTGGGGGTTGCTTTGCAGCTGTTGTAGTTTCATTCCAGGTACCCATTAATTGGGAGCAGGAGCCTGGAGCAGCTGCAGAGCTGGGTTTCTCGTGTCTGAGCACCCAGCTTAGGGTTTGATGCTTGGATCTGGCAGATCTGAGGGGCTCTGGATGTTCTCCCCGAGGGGAGGGTGAGTGGTTTGTGCTGTGCCATGGGACACTCAGCAGCAGGAACTGGTGCCAGGAGCCATCCCTGCCACCTGTCCCTTGTCCCCGGGTGCTGTCAGCCCCTCCCTGTGCTGCTCTGCTTGCTGAGGCCCTGGCTGTGCTTTTGCAGGTTGGAGACAGAGAGAAGCTGTGGGTGGAGAAGATCCACTCTGTGCAGCCCTCAGCCTTTTCACAGCTTCAGTCATGTGCTGTTTTCTGGCCACTTGTTTATTGGTTTGGCATCTTCTGTGCCTACTCCAAGTTCATCAGACTGAAAAAGGAGACAAAAGCCCAGATTATGCTGCAGCAGTGACTGAAAAATCCGTGGGGTGTTTGTGGATGCATTGTCAGGCTGTGCACAGATAACAGCTCACAGAACCAGAATGGTCTGGGTTGGAAGGGATAATCCCATCCCACCCCAGCCATGGCAGGGACATCTCCCACCATCCCAGGCTGCTCCCAGCCCTGTCCAGCCTGGCCTTGGGCACTGCCAGGGATCCAGGGGCAGCCCCAGCTGCTCTGGGCACCCTGTGCCAGGCACTGCCCACCCTGCCAGGGAACAATTCCTGCCCAATATCCCATCTAACTATTTTCTTTTAGTTTGACATCATTGACCCTTGTTCTGTCACTCTGCCCATAAAAAGTCCCTCTCCCTCCTTTCCATGAGTGCCCAGAGCAGCTGGGGCTGTCCCTGGATCCCTGGCAGTGCCCAAGGCCAGGCTGGAGCAGCCTGGGGCAGTGGGAGCTGTTCCTGCCCAGGGCAGGAGTGGGGTGAGCTGATCTTTAGGGTCCCTCCCAACCCAAATCTGTGATTCTACAAAAGCTGCAAATCCTCAGGTTTAGCTGAAAGGTTAAAAGGTTTAGCTGAGCCTTTCCTTCACCCCTTGCCCTGAGTGCCACCAGCACAGGCTGGCCCTGACTGGGGTAGATTTATCCAAACTTGTCCAAAGCCCTCCCTTGCTGCTGCTGGAGCAGCCAGCCCTGCTGGGACCGAAATCCCTGTGCTGCCAGGCAGTCTGGGACTGAGAGCCATTAGGGGAAGGCTGAGGTTACAACTTCTTCCTTAATGGCCCCTTCATTTCCTGCTGCAAAAACGGAGCTGGATTGATCCTCCTGCATCAAGAGAATCCTCACTGCCCTCTCCCTGCTCTGTTGAGGGGAGCAGGGTTTTATTGGGGTTTTAGTGGGGAGTGCTGATGCCAGGGATCAGGCTGGGATTGCTGCAGTGGCTTTCAGTAATTGAAATTTTCAGAAATTGAAATTTGGGAGGCTTTGCTCTGTCCCAAAAGGAGATTGGGGGCTGAAAAGGTTGGTCTGTGGTGGCATTGGGCAAACTGAGGAGTTTGGTGTCAGGGGTGTCGAGGAAAGAGGGGTTGGGGTTGGCTCAGGTCTGTCCAAAGCCAGGGGTTTGTTGTGAAGGATTATTCCATCATTTCCAAAGGATTGAGGTGACTTTACAGGGGGTCCAGATCCAGCTTTCCTACACATTTAGAAAGTCACAGCACCAAAGGCTCCAGCACAGCCTTTGCAGTCGGAAATCTGCCTTGAAAATGTTCACTCCTTGTCCTGTGATAAACTGAGGAATCAGGAGAGCAAGCAGAAAACAAGTTCCCAAACCTCCACCCGTTTTTTCCTTGCTGATCCCCTGTTTACACTTCCAGAGACTTTTAATTGGGGCCCGTGGAAGCTTTCTAGCAAGGCTTTATCCGGGGGATGATTTATGCGTGAAGGAAAGAGGCTGAATCATCAGTAGGGTGAAATTGTTCACCAATAAACTGGGGAAAAGATTTTCCTGCCTCAGCAGCCCAAAAGCAACAATGACTGCAACCCAGCTCTTCTGGGAGCTGCAGGTTTTGGCTTCTTTGTGCTCAAACGGGTGCAACAGGTGATTTAGGAAATTTGGTGATGGGGAAGAACCTTTTTTTCCCAGCAAATGGAACAACCCCATTTACTAATTTATTAATACATTAATCAGGGAATGTATTAGAACAGGTATAAAAATAATAATATTTTCTGGACCATGAAATTCAGGAAGAATCTGCTGCAATAGCAGCTGGGTGTGGGGGGCAATGCCCTAGAGCTGACTTTGTGCAGCTGGGCCCAAGGCTCTGACAGCAATATAATATAATATGATATAAATATAATATAAATATAATATAACAATACAATAAATATGATATAATATAATAAATATGATATGATATGATATGATATGATATGATATGATATAATATAATATAATATAATATAATATAATATAATATAATATAATATAATATAATATAATATAATATAATATAATATAATATAATATAATAACCAGGTGCTACTGGAGCTGGGGGCTGCTGCTGAGGGAGAATATTTCCCGTGGTGTACTCCAAGGGCAGAGTCTGGGTGAAGCAATCATTGTGCTGGGGAGGGAGGAGGCGATGCCATTGCTCGGGAGAAGCTTTGGGAGCCTGGGATCTGAGTCCTCCTGAGCCCTGTTTTCCCTCCAGCCCTAGTTTTTAAATTAAGATAATTTCTGGATCATTTTAGATCTTCTTGTTTACGTGCTTGGTGTTTGTGAATGACAGTGATTCATCTGGTGCTAATATGGGCTCTGTGGAAGTGGAAAATCTTTTAAAGAGGCAATAGTACAACTCTGATTTCCTTTTCTGAGCAGAAATTCCCAGTTCTGCCCAAGCAAGAACCTTGGTGTCCATCATCAAACCCTCCACTGGTTGCCATGGGAAGCTCCCCCTTTTTCTGCAGAGGGAAAAAAGCCCAAAAACTTTTTGTGCCTGCCCATGAATTCCTCAATCAAAAGAATTCTTTTGCTAGGCCGAGTCTAAGCATTCCTTCCAAATAATCTTCCTTCCAAAGAGGGAGCTGCAGGGATGGGTTTGGAGCTCAGAGCTTTCCCTGGGATCCTGGGTGGATTGGGAAGGGGTTGGGGCTTTGGTTTTCCCTGCTCTGTTCCCTCTGTGAGGGGCACTCAGGCCTTTGATTTGCCCCAGGAACTTCCAAGGAATTGAGAACTGTGTTTGTGGTCCCGGAAAATCAAAGGTGCTCCATCTGGAGCTGTCAGAAACCTCGGTGCTGACTTCCACCTTTCATCCTTCCTCTCCAGGAGTTCAAAGCTCCACGGTGGAATTTGCTTTGCAAAGCAGGGGCTCCTTGCAGGAGAGGAGAAATGTCAAAGTGCACCCTCGCTCTCTTTTGATCTTAATGGCAAGAGATTTTCATGTTTCTTCTATTTCCTGCTGCCAAATATTAGTGTCCAGTGGGTCTTCCATGACTGGGGACTGGGCCTAACCTAATATGCTTGTGAGTAAGGATGAACAGTTCAAACAAGATATAAATCTACCTTAAATTGAATCCCAACCGGAACTTTACCCTCCCTGAATTAAAATAGCTTATGATTCACTCGGTATTTTTCATTCCTTTTTTGTGCCTTTGAATTTCTTTATTCTGAAGAAGATACAGAAATGAAAGGCTGGCATGTGATTGTTGTTCCATTTCCAGCCCAAGCCAGAGATGGTTTTGTTGGTGGGATGGTGTTGGGGCTGTAGGGGCAGAAGAGACTCTCTGGTCCCAGCTTGGAGAGCTCACATGGGCCTTTTTGGGGTGTTTCATAGAATTATGGAATGGT